CACACAATAAAAATATTATGTAGAGCATGATCTATGTATTGTGGGAAAAGATATAGAAAATAAAATTCTAAGAACTTAAAATGAAGTTGGAGGATTATGCTTCTTTGGAACTTGTCTGGTTCATTCATTTTCTGTAATAAGTAAAAGCCTTTTAGAAAAAGCTCTTAGAGAAATTTCTTTTCCTTTCTCTCTCTCTCCCCATATTCAGCTCCATTCCTCACCTCTCCCGGAGCTGAGGGCCTGACTGGACTCTCACTTAGTACTGTCCCCCTTCCCTGACCCCTGTACCATTCCTGTTTAGAATCTCTACCCACTTACGCCTTCCTCTCTTTTTTCTTCCAGTGTTATTGAGATATAATTGACATACAACACTTAAGATTAAGGTGTAGAGCATAATTATAAAATGATTACCACAATGAATTTAGTTAACATCCATCACCTAAAAAACACGTGCATAGTAAGGCGCAGGAGGGTCATATGTCAGTTTGTTCACTGTTGGTGATGTTGAGGTGTTTTTAAACCGTACTGACATCGTGCTGACCCTCTTGTCTTCGGTAGACACAGATGCTTGCACATCACGCAGGGTCACCTCAATGGATACTCCCTTCCTCCTTTCCTCTCAGATCTTTCCATCGTCTTGTGTTTAGACCTGGACGTCAGCTGTTCTACCATTTCCTGTATTGTTTTGCTTTTTTTCCTCGCTGGAGTTAGGGAGGGCCAGGCTGCATGCTGAGGAAAGGAAAGCACCCGTCTTCCTGGTAATAGACTTAAAGCCACCACAGGCTCGGAGCTGTTAAGATGTAACAGCTCCGTCTGTGTTGAAGCTGAAAGACTCCGCAGCTCTCTCTTCCACTTGGCTTGCTCTGTCAGACATGCTGTGTGCCCGGTCAGAACAGACGTGGGGGGCGCGCGTGTCGGCCCTCAGAAGGCGGTGGGGGTCACGGTCACGGCGTGACCTGCTGCTCCCCACACAGGACAGGCGTGAGGACCGTTCACAGCAGGCCTCCAGCCACGCCCCTTTCCCAGGCTGGCTAAGTGCACGGTGCCTCGTCCCTCTAACTTCCCGGGAAGGGCCTCCGCCTTGAGCATCCACCTTCATTGAAAGCGTTTTAGCCGGGTGTGGTGTGCCACATGCTATGTTTTAGATTCCATGATACTTGGTCATGACATGAGCAAGCTAACAAAAACGTGATACTTTTAAAAGTTGACTTACAGAAAGCCTTTGGTTTATCTCACACGTTCAGCTCATGTGGCCTCTACTGAGTGCCACTCCATGCCCAGCGCTGTGTGTCTCAGAACACGTGGACCCATGAAGGGTCACTGCTCCCCACAGCTGGGCTTGGTCGGGTCATCATGTCAGTTAATAAGTCATTACGGGGAACGCGATGCCCTAGTGCAGTGTTCCCCAAACTTTTGACATAATTTTCGTAACGCCGAGTACCCCTGTACTCATGAGAACGTAGAATTAGGCGCAGCTAAGCACGGTGCAGTGCATATCCCCACCAAACTCCGGTGCAACGCGTACCCCCACCAAACTCTTCCCGTACCCCTGGGGGTACGCGTACTACACTTTGGGAAACACTGCTAGTGGAAGAAGTGAGTATGAGACTATAGGTAATCAGGGAAGGCTTCTTGGAAGAGAAGGCTTCAAAGCAAATCTTTAAAAGAGCCACTCTGAAGAGGAGAACGAGGGACTTCCTGACGAGGCAGGTACATGGCCTGTGAAGCGAATGCCGAGCCTAGGAGCCCCTATGTTTTGGAGCTGCTGCCGCATTTTGGAACAGATTTATTCTTGTAAAATCTGCGCAGAATTAGGAGGAGCAGGGGAAGGTTTCTAACACCTAGCCCGTTTAGCTGTGTTTTTATTTGGATTAGGGATTTCACAGGGGGTTCAAAAAACAAACAAACCAGACAGCCTTTGAAAATTATTCAAAATGAACCAACTGCCCTAGCTGGTTTGGCTCAGTGGATAGAGCGTTGGCCTGCAGACTGATGGGTCCCAGGTTTGATTTCAGTCAAGGACTCATGCCCGGGTGGTGGGCTTGATCCCCAGTATAGGGCGTGCAGGAGGCAGCCAATCAATGGTTCTCTCTTAACATTGATGTTTCTATCTCTTTCTTTCCCTCTCCCTTCCTCTCTGAAATCAATAAAAATAAAAGTCTTTAAAGAAAAAAAAAAATGAACCAACTCTGGTATAGTTTATTGTGTGCAACTCCAGGGTAGGCTTAGTTGATGCTGAGAGGAAAAGAAGGAAACTAGCCCATCAGTGTGTGTTTAAGTGAGCAAGAAAGCCGGGTAGGCTTCGTTTTCATAGCCAAGTACATTTCCCAAGTCCTTGCATCTTCCCTCCAACGGCAACAGGAAAGCCTAAGGCTCTGGGTTCCCCAGAAGAATGTAACCTGAGCTGTCTTTCCTGCAGCAGCTGCACAAGTCTAGCTGGGAACGTTACCTTTAGAAAGGACAGCAGGGGCAGGCCCGGGAGGTGGGCAGCGGGCAGGCCCCCGGGGGGTGGCAGAGCCGTGGGCGCCGTGGTCATGCCCAGCCCAGCAGGCCGGCGGCTGGCCATGCTGCAGATTGTTGTGTGCCAAGCGGGGCCCAGTGTGGCCAGACCTTCTCGTCTTACAAGAAGAGTCATACTAACTTCTAATGGCTTTTAAATGTTGACAATTTAAAAACTGTTTAAAAAAAAAAAAAAGGCTGCCAGCTACCAAACCCTGCCCTCCACTCGAAACATCTTTGCTGCAGGTGGCTCATCGGCATGCCTTGGTCGCAGGGAGACGCCCGTCCCATTTATCCTCTTGTGCGCGCTCTTTCATCTTCGCAGCCAATTAGACAACTGGTAGGCGGCGTGCCAAGACTGTCAGCTTAGTCCTGCCCAGGACTCCCTTTGCATTGTGCTTTAACGGTCGGCAGCTTAATCTTAATTGAAGGCTTGTAGACGAAGAAAGCCTTTGAAATGTGCATATGTGTGGTGAAACCGGCCGAGGAGGCTGGCGATCACATCGCTTCGTGCCACACATGAAGTCCGCGGTCCTGAGTTCTTGTAGCATCTATTGCTGAAAACATGGTCTCCCGTGCGACCCTGGGATGCTTCCTCCTCCCCGACAGGGGATCGATCACTCACTGTTCCTCTGGCTGCCAGCATGCTCGTGTGATGGTTAAGCAGAGTGGTCAGCCCAACAGCTGTTCACTTTGTTGGCTTCCTCAGCCTTTCCCTGGCCCTCATCGCTGTCCACTCTACACAACCTCACGTTCTTCTGTGGGGAGATTTAAGAACCTCCGTTGGGGGAAAGTATATTCGACACCGAGGGCCTCCTCTTTGTCGCGTGGGCATGGAGCCAAGCCGTTACCTTTCCGGTGTGAAGCACAGCACAGCCAGGGGGTCTGCTCAGCGTCCCACGGCAGGTGTGCAGCTCAGTGGTGATAAGTATGTTCACAGACTTGTGCACCCATCGCTATTATCCGTTTCTAGAACTTTCTCATCCGCCCAAACTCTGTACCCATTAAGCCACATGGCCTCCCTCCCACAGCCCCTGTAGCCTGTGTCCTACTTTCTGCCTCTGAGGTTGCCTGCCCTGAGCACCGCAGGGAAGTGGGGTCCTACAGTATTGGTCCTTTTGTGACCGGCTTGATTCACTTGGGCCGTAGCCTGTCTGGGTGACCTTCCTTTGGGAGGCTGAGGAACACCCCGTGGCAGGCCGAGGCCACATTTTGTTTGTCCAGCCATCCATGAGCATTTGGGTTCTTTGAACCACCTTTTGGCGGTTGTGGCTACTGCTGCTATAAACAAGGGTGTACACGTGTCTTTTTCATTTCTCCTTCCCATTCCTGTGGGAATACACTCAGAAACGGGGTTGCTGCATACTACGGGAGTTCTATTTTTAATTTTTGAGTAACTGCCACGCTGCCTTTCACAGCGGTGGCACCGTTTTATAGTCCCACCAGCAGGGCACAGGGTTCTGACTTCTCCACAGCCCTGCCAACACTTGCTGTTTTCTGTTGCTGTTTGAATATAGGGTCCACCCTGATGAGTGAGATGATAACTCATTTTGATTGATACACAAGACACCTTTTGTTCGCCCTCGAACCCACTGAGTCCCTTGTCTCAGCCTCTGTTGCTCTTCTGATTCCGTAACATACACCCTCTTACCTTTTGTAGAGACTCCAACTGCCTCAGCCTTTAGTGCCGACAGTCCAATCTCTGGTAGGGGCCCAGACTGCGCAGGGGGCTGCAGGCCACGGAAGGAACTGAGCATTGATTCTAAGTCTGTGTTTAGAAGAATACACCACAGACTCTGAACGAGCATCCCAGCCCGAGTTGAGCAGCGCTGGTGCTCGGGGTGACTGGTGGTGAGTGATTGGTGCTGTGTGACCACACTCAGTCAGGGAACCCAGAATACTCGCTCCTGCAGCTTATCCACTTTGTCCTCCTGTGGGGCTCCGAGCAGGGAACCGTGATCGGGGGCAGCCACGTGTCCCGATTGTAAGCTCATTGAGGGCAAGAACTGAGTTTGACCCAGTTCCCGTGTTTTAAAATACCTAGTGTGTCTGCTCACTCGGGGGGGTTTCGTTTTGTTTGTTCAGTGATGTCATGATATCCGTGTTTGCTGCCCCTCTTTCTGGAGCTGGTGTTTGTCTGAATGGCTGAGCAAGAAGGTAGGCCAGATGGCTTAGGGGGCCCCACCAGCCCCTCTGACACTTCCTTGTTTTATTAAAAAACCTCAGGTTGGGGCTGCCCTCTGGTGAAAGACGGGAGAGTCCGATTGGTGGGTTGGCGTGGTTAAGTAGAAAAGGACCGATTCTGCAGTCCCTTAGGAAAGGTTGTCTCCAAGCCTCAGGACGCCAGCAGGCTGGGATTCGGCTGCCCAGAGTCAAACTTTGACATTTCAAGCTCTGCTGCCATTTCATTTTACTTGAACGGGTTTTCCAAGGTGAACGAAATGAAGAGCATGCGCTGCCCACCCGCCCGCCCCGCTCATTCTGCCCCCATTCCCTCGCAGATACCTGCAGCGACCTGAACTCGGAGCTGCAGCGGGTGCTGACGGGGCTGGAGAACGTCGTCTGCTGCAGGAAGAAGAGCAGCTGCAGCCTGTCCGTGGCCGAGGTGGACCGGCACATCGAGCAGCTCACCACGGCCAGCGAGCACTGCGACCTGGCCATTAAGGTAAACCCGCCCGCCCTCCCCGTGGCTCTTGGCGGCGGTCACGGGGGGGGGGGGGGGGGGGGGGGGAATGATCAGATGCCTCTCTTTGGAAGTGTGGTTTTCTCAGACACCTGTTAGGAGTGAGTGTTTCTGAGAAAGCCGTACTCACGGATTGGGCCACCAGCGAGAAGCCGGACGGAGCCCTGTCGGGCTGAATTACATTAAAAAAAAATCACTATGTCCACAGTCAGGATCACTGGCTTTGCAGCAAAAATGACAGTTTTCTTGGAAACGCTCAGACTTGCCCGTATTGAACCACCTCCTTTTAGTATGGTTTGACAGGTAGCCCAGAGATTAACTTGGAGGTTTTATTAACACTCTGTGGCCTCTAGAGTATTATTTCGGGAGTTATCAGTTCACGGGGCTAAGCAGGGGGAAGTCCCAGGCCTCCGTGAGTCATGCATCCTGAGCACATGGTGCTGGGCCTCAGCCACGCCTTTCCCATCCATTCATCTTCCCTCCAAAGGAGAGTGAAAGGAGAGGAATCTGCTGCATCTGCACAGACTCATCATGAACAATGGGGACGTCAAGTCTTGTTGATACTGGGCCTCTGGGGTCTTTATGTTACTTCACCCTGGCTTGGTGACCTCGGCATAGTGACTGACTCTGAAAAGTCAGAGAGGGGCCTGTGGAAAGGGACAACGTGATGTGTTACTTGAAGGAAGAAAAAAAAAAAGTTTTAGCACTCCAGGCCCAAGTGTCTATCAACAGCAACCCTGGATCTTACAAAAGAGCTGTGGTATCTCAAGGTGAACCGTGATTCATATTTATCACACAGCTGGTTCTCCATCTTTATTCGTCTCAATTATTAATATATCAGCGATGTGGTTTGGAGAAGCAACCACTGTTGTTTCTTTGTCTGGCGTCTCCCAGGCCCCATATTTAATCTTAATGTCAACTTGGGTCCCGGCCCCAGCCTCAGCTTTGAGAGGGAAGGAGAAGCCAAGGACTTCTGCCAGCCAGCCAGGGACAGAGCTGAGAGGGAGGACAAAGCACACCGCAGGGGAAGTGGCAGCGCCATTGGGAGACCAGTGTGAGCAGCCGCCAGTGACCTCCCCTTTTGTTGTTTTGTTTTATTTATAAGACCTGTTTCTCATCACCTCTCTTCACTGCCTTCTACTCTGACTTGGGAATTCTCTCTCCTCTCTCATGCCACTTGGCTTCTGTTTTTTCCAAACAACAGGAAATGTAAATGAATGGTTTCTGAAAGCAGCTCTTCCTCCCCTCCCCCAGTTTTCTGCACGTTCCTTCCCCATTAAGACTATGTTTTAAATGGATTATTTAAAAACTCTCCAAGTGCTATTAAGATCCTGCTCTTCTTAGCCCACAGCTGTCTTATTCATTAATTAAATCCCTGCTGTCTCAGGAACCCCTACCACGAGCGTCCTCGGTTCCGTGTCACGGGTTTATTTTCGGCTTGGGCTTCTTGGGACTGAACCTCATTCACACCCTCTCAGTTCTGCGGTGACACTGACGCTGGGAACGGCGACGTGGCCTCCCGCGGCCGAGTTGGAACAGGGGAGGCCTGTGATTCAGGAAACGGCGAGCTAGGTTTTGTGTGCAGTTGGCAACTTCACGTCTGCATTGTCGGGCTCACTCACTGGCTTGCCGTCTGCTGGTGCGTAGTCACCAGCTCTGGAACGCGACGAAGGAGATAAACATTGTGGACAGTTAGCGCCAGGGAGGAACTGTGTTTTTCTTTTTCTTTTTTCTTTTTTTATTTCTTTATTGATTAAGGTATTACATGTGTGTCCTGATCCCTCCATTGACCTTCCCACCCCCACCCCCACCCCACTCATGTCCTCACCCCCCTGGTGTTCATGTCCATTGATTAGGCTTATATGCATGCACACAAGTCCTTTGGTTGATCTCTCCTCCTTTCGCCCACCCTCCCCTAGCTTCCCTCTGAGGTCTGGCAGTCTGATCGATGCTTCTCTGCCTCTGGATCTGGGACTGTGTTTTTCTTACTCCCGGGACTGCTGGGTAACACAGATTGGGACCCAAGCAAGCAACAGAGTCTGGTTTGAAAGTAGGGAGAGGAGGATTTGGGGGTGTCACTGGTCAGGATGACACTTTACAGTGAGGAGGAGGCTGTGGAACCCCCTCCTTCCTCTGTGGACGCTCGCTCCGTCCAGCCTGTGTTCCTCCCCTCCGCGTTCTCGCCGCCGCTCACCTGGCTTGTTTCTGTGTTCCAGACCGTCGAGGAGATCGAGGGGGTCCTCGGCCGGGACCTGTACCCCAGCCTGGCTGAGGAGCGGTGTCGCTGGGAGAAGGAGCTGGCCGGGCTGCGGGAAGAGAACGAGAGCCTGACCGCCATGCTGTGCAGCAAAGAGGAGGAGCTCAACCGGACTAAAGCCACCATGAACGCCATCCGGGAGGAGCGGGACCGGCTCCGGAGGAGGGTGAGCACGCCGCCCGCCGGGCCTCTTCCCGGGGTGCGGGCCAGAGAGCAGCGGCAGAGCCCGGGGCAGCCCCAGGGATCCTGGGGCATTTATAGCTTTTGGAATCACCATCCCTTTCTGGGTATGAAGTCAGTTTTTCTTTTTCTTTTTTTTAAATTATTTTCTTAAAATGAAAATAATCTAAAACCGCTGAGGTGTGGCGAAGAGATTTTTAAAAAACACTATTCTCCAGGATTGCAAATCTTAGTGGATGGTAAAATTATATCAGTGGCCCTAGCTGGTTTGGCTCAGTGGATAAAGCGTCGGCCTGCATACTGAAGGGTCCCGGGTTCGATTCTGGCCAAGGGCATGTACCTTGGTTACGGACACATCCCCAGAAGGGGGTGTGCATGAGGCAACTGGTTGATGTTTCTCTCTCATCAGTGTTTCTAACTCTCTCTCCCTCTCCCTTCCTCTCTGTGAAAAATCAATAAAATGTTCTTTTTTTTTTTTTTTTTTTTTTTTTAAAGAAAAAAATTCTATCAGTGATTCTCAACCCATTCTCCTGGGTGTGCACATCTTCCCCAGCTCCATTAAAATGTTCTTCTTTTAAAATAAATTAATACTATTTTATAATTTGCAAATGTATATAGAATTTTCCCCCTTTGCAGTCTTTTCTAACATTCTTTAAATTTATAACAGTTGCTCTCACTTATCAGTGAATCTAATGAGAAATGTTAACTCTTTTAGTGCAGACTTATGAAGGTTAAAATAATCATATGTATGTATGGCTGTGTCTATATGTGTGTTTTGTGTATGTGTATATGTGTTAAGTATGTGTGTGTGTGACTCCTGGTATTCACCCCCATGTACCCGTGGCTCTATGACCTGAAGCAGTTTGCAAATCACTCTGTGTAGGAAACATATCCATTACTAAAGACGCTGATGTTTTAGGATAGAAATGTTTGGTAGAATTGTTAAAAGCATTCAATTTTCCAAAGATGGAGGGGTTTTTTCCTCAGGAACCCACAAATACTTCTTTGTTTGGCTGTGGATTTGATCTGTGAATCGACTGGGGGTGAAGCAAGGAATTCTTCAATCAGAAGCAATTCCCTCTGAACTCCACTTTGAATTACGAGACCGCTTACTCTCTCAATCTTGGCGATAGTAGAAGTTTGCTTTCTAATTCTGCTCTAACTGGAAATTTTGCACACAGATGGAGTTGAATTAGAGAGGGAGAAAAAGATCTGTCGTCATTGTTCTCTCTCCCCACCTTCCTTCTAAAGAACATCTTGGAAATACCTTGTTCTTCCAAAAGGTCAGCATGTGTAGCTCATTCTGTTTCTAATCCACATGTACGCTTGCGTGTGGAAGGAATTGCTATTTTTCAACGTTATCAGCTCTTTTCCTCACTTGTGGCTAATGTTATAATTAAAAGGCCAGCCTCCCTGCCGCTCAGATCTGAACATCGTTTTGTCTGAACTCATGTGCATAATAAGCTTGTTTCCAGTACCCAGCTGTATCAGATGCCATTCTTCATCCTTGCATCAGCAGGTGTAAATCATCCCCGTCAGCAAGGCTTTATCTGGGCCAGCTGATGACATTTCCTGCGTGCGAAGGCCCCCACCACCTGTAATTTCCTGGGCTGAGCTCCCTGATGATCGTGACTAATGCCCTAATTAGGTGTGCTTGCTCTTAGCATGTGCATTCTGATGGTGCGTGTTTTGTAAAGGAAATGGGGGGCCCGGGTGTACTTACACGTTGTGGTTTAGAATAAATGTCCTCCTCTAACTTGAGTTACTAAAGCACAGGAGAGCCCTGGATTGTGACCAGCAGAAGATAAAAAGCTGGTTCCCATCTTCAAGTATTGTCTCCAGCTCTGGAGGTTAGTATTAAGAACCGCATCCTTTGGATGCTCTGTGCCAGGTCTGGAGCCTGACCACCTCGGGTCACACCCAAGTCACCATGAGTCTGTGGCAAGTTACCTAATTCTCTGTGCCGTGGTTTACTCTGCCGTGAAGTGGGCATAATGCTAATACCCAATGCAAGGAAATTAGTTAATACTCATAATGCACTAACCTTGCTTCTGATCATATTGAAACGGTAATTTAAGTTTTGCAGTGACTATGTGGATTGTTGTGTTTGTGTGTTGTTGTTTTTTTGTGTGTGTGTGTGTTTCTGTCTTTTAATATGGTTTTATATTAAATGTATTTAATTTATATTTCAATTACCTCCAAATAAAAATGTGTCAAGGGACTTGTTCCTTTTCCTCAACTGGAGGAGTCCTCAGGAATTTGTATACATACCCATGGATTGGATCTATCTCCCTTTATTTCAAGACAGTTGTGGGTCTCACCGAATTTGTTAGATGCCTTTAATGCTGGATGACTTCCACCCACCACCACTCATCATATATCATTTCCCCGAGAGGAGTCTGTTTCCTGTGCTTGGCTGTCTTCTGATCTCCATCATGTGCAGCTCTGTGGAGTGCCCTCCTTGTGATTCCACATGGTCCATGCTGCCTTCATGGCACTTCCCACTCCACAGTTCATCAAAGTTGCCTGGAAAGCAGTTGAGGCCACTTTTTTTTTCACTACCCACATTGATTGTATAGAATTTGAACTGACCAGATCAATAGGATTGGTGCTTGGCCCCTGACTGTAATTAAACAAAGTGCTCTCAGTAGATTTTTCTGAGCTTGTTCAAGATTTAATTAAATTACATCCTTAATGTTAGTTAACAGATAGAGCTGCTTGGCAGAGCAGACAGCAGGCAATTTTTATTACTGGTCCCAGCTCATTATTAAATGAGATAATCATTTATATCTGTATGCACAGTACTATACCCATTCATTTCCTCACACTTAGCGAAACAGACTTAATTTAGGTGAGGTAGAATTAATTACTCTCGAAAGGAAGCACTTTGCTCTTCATTCATTTGTTTATTCATTTTGTAAATGTGTCTGGTTGTCTCCTGGCAGAGGGGTCACAGTGGCGAATAGGACACAGTCCCCAGCGTGAGGGGTTTTGGGGAGACAGGCAGGTAAACAGCTCATTACAATGGTGTATGTCCAGTGGTCGGGAGGGTACACACAGAGGGTGCCTTATTGGAAGGACCTGTGGTGGCAGGTCCGGCTCCTCCACACACACTATTTACATTTTTTACCTAATCATTTAGGTCACCTGCCATGTTCCAAAATGATCAGTGCTTTCCTTTCCCCAGATAGTTTGGTAAAGCAAACTGGATGTGACCACAGGCTTATGTGACCCACCGAATTATAGACTTGAATCAAAAGTGGGCCAAAAAAGTTATTTCTGAGATTTTATTCAAATTCTTCCTAAAGTTCTGCAAGTTCGTGGCATTGGTTGGTGGGAGCAGAGTTTATTCCCTGCATCCTGTGCCCACCTGGGTATTTTTAACATGTCTGGGAAGGAATTCCATCACCTCTCCTGGGCTGCCCTCACCCCTCGGGTCTGGCTTCTGCTTGGACTCTCTGGTCATCACCACAGTGTAAATTCAAGAGACGAAAGGACACACTGTTTCGAATCAAATAAAAGTTGTCCTAATTTGAAGTTTTCCTCTCAATTTTGTGCACCCTCCCTCAAAATGTCCTTAAGACCCTGAAAGTTAGTTAATTAACTTGCCTCGGTAGGAGGTAGGCAGTATTTCTATCGATGTTAAGATGGTAACAAGTGTCTCTTTTCCAATCCAATCATTCTTGGTTCTTAAATGCAGTGTTAAATTTATGAAGGGATTTCATTGTTCTGTGTTTATAGGACCCATATAATAAAATGATCACCCTGGTCAGCTAAAGTCTTTTAAAATATAAACGAGGATTCCAAAAGCCAGGTGGTTTTTTTTTTAGGGGGGGTTGAGGGTGGAAGCATAGAGACATGGAATTTATTAATGATAGACACACTGTGTTTTGTATTTTACAATAAATTGTGTGACTTTTGTCAATTGAAAAACCTTCAAGCAAACTTTGTTTTGCTTGGAAATAATAGGAAGGTATTTTTTAAAAAGTAAAGAAAATTCACTTCTTAAGGATTCAGCATTTAATCAGTTGTATAATCGAAAAGCCAGGTTTTTACATGGCTGCCATTTGGCTCCTTGGCCGGAAAAAGGCCAGGTAATCTTTCAGAATGCTGCAGTACCGTTTCCTTCCTTCTCACCTGGCCTCCTTAACAGAAAGTGGCCCCAAGTTTCTGGTGATGCAGCCTGTGTGTCGGGTGGTGGTGGGAATGGAAGCATGAAAGGAAGGCCTCGGGGCAGGAGAGAGACATTTCCTGCGTGCACTGTCACCCTCAGGGCCCATTTACCCCTTTAGCTTTGCAAAGTAACAATCCTCTCATGTATTTCTTTCAGCCATTTTTTTTTTTTTTAATTATGGTTAGTTTTACGGCAGCAAAAAGTTACAAATCAGAACCTGCCAAAGGGAGAGATGCTTCCGTGAGGTCTGAAAGGGGTAAACGCAAAGCTCCCCGTGGTCCTCTCCCTGTGGAGTCCTGGATGGCCTTTCCTCCTCTTGGCTGAGACGTGTGGCCACACTCAGAGCATTGCCAACCAGGGAGGTTCATCCAAACGTCAGTGTTTAAAGTTTTTATCGGCGTTCCAATCTGTAGGTGTGACTGATGGAACCATAGGCCATGGGGGGGAACTCAACATGCAGCTCCTTCTCTTTCAGGGAGATCAGGCCTCTATCCGTTGGGCCACCTTTAAGTCTGTGATTATGACAGAGCTCCCCGTGTCTGCCCGTAGCCATTTCATACAGGAGGTATCACAGAGATTTGTTGGGGTGGGGATGTTGTAGCATTTATCCCATGAACTCGCTGACCATGGTAATATACAGAGCATCCTCTTCTGTGTCCCCAAGGTCCTCCCCCAGAGCCATTAGTTATGAATCCATTGGTTCCAGTTTCCAAATACTGAGCTGGTTCTAAACACTAAATCAAATCCACCTTCAGTATTTACCCACGTTATCTCCAAGGGCACTGGTCGATCAATGGTCACGCTTGAAGGAG